ATTTGACCACATGCCATAACATAATATTACCAAAACATGAAATAACTTAAACTCGAAGAAAGAATCCAATGGGTGGGGCGTGCCACCCATGTGTGGCACATGTGGGCCCCACTCACTTGACATATGGTGGGCCCATGTGCACTATGGGCCCTCCATGATATTTTATATAATTTTAAATTATAAAAAAAAATCATTTTTGAATTTTATAATTTTGTAAAATCAATATTTTTATTTTTCAATGTCCAAAAAAAAATTATAAATAAAATATCAAATAACTCATAAAAATTTAAATAATAATTTTAAAATAATTTCTATCATAAAAAAACATAATTAAATTAACTTGATGGAAAATGGATCTATATGGTTAAGAAATTTAATCTACAATCATGGGGCACTCCACCTTCAACTGTGGACTACAGACCACACTTGCCTTATTAAACCGACCCAGTGTTTCCCATGACCCACAGTCGAAGCAAGGGCTCATTAGCAGGTCACCAAAGTCTGGCGGATGAATCAAGGGGTCGCAATCTCAATCTGTGGATTACAGGTCCTCCTTTATAGACAAGTCAAGGTCACCAAGACCTTATGCGACCACAGCTCTCAAGCGCATAAGGGTATCTCTCGCACATGCATACGCTTCACCCCAAAAGGTTCATTTTTATCTTTCTGAATGATCTATCGATATGCATGTCATATGATGGTACATAGATGAGGTTTTGGCCCCTGTCTCTGTAGGCCACCATCACACACAAGTGTCACACAGTCCCTCGCCTCACTCATCCGTGTATGTTCTCCGACCTCATGAAGGGCTAACCCATAAACCCTCATCGGTTTGTTCTTCATGCTCAGGTAATCGTTTCTGAAGAGCCTCTTAATAGGTGATCAGAGTAAACAGAAAGAAAATTAGATAATGAAGTACGAAGAGAGTGGAATGACAGTGAAGGAGCTTGAAAATACTAAAAAGTAGAGCAAGTAGGGATGGATGGGAGAGAAAATAGATCCTTTGGCACTCAGATGGCCTTCTGGCGTCCCCTTTCTAAGGAGGTGACAAGGAACAGCAGAGAGATCCCTATACATCAATCAAAGTCTAGAGTACCCTGGAGAATTCTTATGATTGTGGAAACAGAGGTCATGCCTCTGACACAGACCTAAAAAGAGCCTCACGAGGGTGTCAAAGCTTAGTTGGCTAAAATGGGAGGGGAATAGGTATATATAGGTGAAAGAGAGAGGAGAGAAAGAAAGTGAGAGAGAGAGAGAGAGAGAAATAAGGAGAAGAGAGAGAGAAGGGAGAGAGAGAGAGAGAGAAGAGAGAGAGAGAGAGAGGAGAGAGAGAG